TCGCATGATTCTTATAGCCATAAAGTAGAATAATGAAAATATATAATTATAATATGACACAGAATTAAATTATAAATATTTATATAGAAGTCATAATTAATTTAATAACAAAACATTGATTGATGATCTCATGATGATCTCACCATAACATGAGCTTTAATTAAATGAAGAAACAGAAGATAAGACATGTTTAGAAAAATAAACCGTAAGATTCAATAAGATCTTTATATACACTTTTATTTTTTCTAATAATTGCATGCAAAGGAATATTGTATATAATGAAAGACAATAATTCCTCGTATTGTCCGGAATCGATCAATGAATCTAGTAAATATGCATACAGTACGGTTTGAAAATTTCAAAACAAATTTTAATTAAATAGATTATTTCCCTTTATACAGTCAAATCTCTTTTTGTGCGGTTTTAAAGTCATCGATTAGTCCGGTATATTGGAGATTCACCGATTACTCGGACTATGTGAGATATTGCTGTATGTAGAATGTTATAATTATTTTTTTGATGATAAAATTTTAAAAATAAACTAAACTAAATATGTTAATACATAAATAACCATAAAGTATAATTATAATATGACACAGATTGAAATTATTGTAAATATATAGATAGAAGTCATATATTAATTACTTGGTCATAATTAATTTAAGAACAAAACTTAAATTGATGATCTCACCATAACATGAGCTTTAATTAAATGAAGAAATAAGATCTTTATATACACTTTTATTTTTATAATAATTACATGTAAAGGCATATTGAAAGCTCTTTCTTATAAGTATATGATTGAAGACAATCAGTAGAATAATTTATGGATTTTTTGTATTAAAATTTTAAAAGGTAACTACAAAAAAAATGGGAACAATATAAAAGATTTAATTAGAATAGATTTTAATATTTAAATGTAAGTAGATTAATGGTAGTATTAAAATATATATTCCACTCCAATCTAAAACTTGATATGATCTCAGTGTCTAGCCACATCCTACTACATCATGTGCTCCTTGTATATGTGTCTTTCTTCGACCTATTTAGGTACTCAATCAAAACAACCCACATTGATTTACACTATATATATATTATGCACACTTGTTTACATATTTATCTAAAAATAGAAGATCTATATAATTATACAATTGGGACGGAAAGATCTACCTACGCTCAATTCTTGTCGATTATTATTTTATATATTTAGAACTTATGTAACTGATGCAAAATTATTATTATTAAATAATTATATATTACTTAACGAATTAATATTTAATCCCTCAACATATGAAAGGAATAAACCGCTGTCAATTTAGGTTACAGAAGAACTGCAAACAAATATGGGGGTCGTGCGTCAAAATGGTTGAAAAACCTTGATTTAACCTTTTTTTAATATGGTTATTCTTGATATTGTCTCTATTCCTCACTCTCTACTACATCCGTAACTAAACATTACCAAAGACCACAGAGATGCAACAATGATCCTCTTGCTTCTTAGTCCAAGTGTATTCGAATGGTTGTGATGAAGATGCAGGATAAATCGACGTTGTAAACGAATAAAAGCATTTCACCCAGGCAGCATTCGTTGCAAATATTGATGCGACTGTATCAATTATTAATTAATATTTGCAAGTGCAGCGCACACGACATTTAACCTTCGTATCGCGTATTGAGGAACGGTGAAGGACGCGAGAGAAGAGTGTTCGATAAAATAAACATTTTCAGCGCGCAAATGCATAATTGAAGTAGGAAAAATAACGAAAAACGAATTTAACACCAATGTGTATTCGTTGTCGTCATTCCTGCAACAAGGGATATGCAATATATATATGATATATATATATATATATATATATATAGTATATACATATATATATTGCGTGGCCATGTTGTGTCGTAATTCGAGCCGCAGGACCACTAAGGACGATCCCGATTGGTGCATCCAGTTTTCCCGGACACGCCCCTGACCGTTTTCCCAGTGACTCATCCTTTCTGGTAGAGGAAGGTCAGGACTTCGATTCCGTCGCCCCCCCTCGCGGCGAGGTGGAGGCCGGAAAAGAGGTAAATAAAAACAAGTTGAGACAAAAAAATATATGCATTCGCTGAAAGGAGGATGTGGAAGGTCGTCGCTTTCTGATTGCCGAAGGTGCCATGAACGTAATGATCTTATGGTCGGATATTGGAGACCGTTCATAATTGTCGAACCATCCTGACGTCAGGACCGTAACACCAGTTTTCCGCGTCCTCTTCCCGGTTCGAAAAAATAACTGTAAAGGCGATCCGCGTAAATATTTCAACTATGCTACAGAAAAAGGGTGTGTGTGTGTATATATGTGTGTGTACAGTCGGCGACGACCGCGGAATTCCTAATCGCATCGAAATTCTCGGTAGCAATCGATTGATGTTACCCAATGCCAATGCGAGGCAGTAACAGAGATCAACAAAGTCTATCCTATGCGATATCCCGTGCCGCTCCTCTCGCCGCGTCGAGACGTTGCGTAATTAGTAACGCATTGCTGCATCGTAATTCGCATCCCTCTTCCATCCGGTTCTTAACTTTGGCGAAGAGTTCAAGGCTTCCGAGCTGTTACGCCGGTGGAGGAAGCAAAAACCAGGTTAAGACGGATAACAGATGCTGCATTGTTACCTATAATTATTTACTCCTGTCCAAATTCAATGAACAATGTCATTGTCAAAATAATTCAATTCCATTCAGTTAACGTACATAATGCATACACGAATTGCACGACGTTAATCGAATTTTCATATACATGCATTTACGAATCTATTTATCGTTCGCTACGTTCATACGAACGTACACTTTTCTGTCAGCATCATATGGTTTTATTATAAATATTTTTCACCAACTATTCTTTAGATGAAACTGAACGACTGAATTTGACTTTAACAGAACTCAAATATTTTAAATTAATTCTCACGAATTGAAATAATTATACGTTTGTACGGATATTTTTGCTTTAGTTCGGTGAGTATATTAATCATGTACGTATATTTGAAGGGTGTACGTGAAGTGAACGCTTTTTAATATATATAAAAAATCTTAATTTTTAGAATAAAATTACAACATATGTCTTGTTGAATTTACACTTAAAAGATGTATGTTAAGTGAGTATTATACCTATATTTAATAAAATAATTTGTAGAATTTACATTAAAAGTATATTTGTTAAATGAGCTTTGATAATATATAATAAATATATTTTTCTAAAAATATGTACACACTAATATTCAGTCATTAGAATAATCATGCAAGTCTTGTCAAATTTACATGAAAAGCATGTATGTTAATAAAATGATTTGTTTTTGTCATCATATATGTTTGCACAAATATTTCATCAACACAATTAATGTTTTCAGATCGAATGGAACACGATTAAAGTAAACACAAACAAAGAAGTAGAAATTGCTGGTTGAAAAACCAAAAAAAAACAGGCAACGATTCCAACTCCAATCATTTTTCACGTTGCAATTCCCTCGCGCAACATATATCATCTGCAAGGACCTAACCTTCCTCTTCCTCTTTTCGTGCACTTTTCCGAGAAAAATACAAGCTCTCAAACAAAAATCTTTTTTGTTTACTACATGCTTTTTTCCCTTATCTGAACATGGAAATACGAAATACATGAGTACGACTTGGAAATATTGATATTCGTGATATTTTCAAGTTGTAAGTATAATTAAATAAGAATAAACTTGTTATACGAATCTTTATGAATTTGCATTCATTTGATATTTAAATAATATGCATATAACACTTACAAATTATCTAAAATTTATATAAAAGTAACTAATTCATGATTTTATACTATATAAACAGCAAAATAATTGAAATATTTGAATATTAATATTTATTGTATGTACTTCATTTCATAGTAATTTATATTCTATTTATATACAATATTATCTTAATCACATACAAAGTGCACATAAAACGACGTACATAATAAATTAAAGACAACAATTTTGTGATTACAACAAAATATATAAAAAAAAATGATAGAGAAAATAAGAGAATGGATCAGAGAAAAGGGTTGAGTTTTTGAATATGAAAATTAGGGTTCCGAACAATACAATACTGAGAATTGAAAGGTCAAGGTGAATAAACGTTATTTTAACGGATTATTTTTGAATTTAGATTAAAATTTTACCTTATAATATGATTATTTTCAGTTCAGAATCAGGATTATATTATAATTTTATTATGAAATATATGAAACAAGTACAAGTAAATCTAAATATTGTTAAAGAAAAAAAAAAGTAGTTTTCCTATCGCAAAATGTTTTTTAACGGAACATCAAATAGTTAAAAGTAAACTAATTACTGAAAATTGTAACAATATTAATGATAATAATAGGTTTTACGTTTATTTATATTACATTATTTACGCTAATTGAAATATTCCTTTTTTTATGGTATTAATAAAATGCATTTTTTTTTACAATTGTTACAAATGAATGTTTTAATTACTATAGTTACTTATTATTCTATTGTTTTCTAATTATCTAAATAGAGTTTGTTATTTTCTTATATGGAATTTTATAGAATTTACATAAAAGAAAATAGTCATAATGATTCGTTGAGGCAAAACAAAATCCTGTTGATTAATTTGCTCTTACAAAGACCTTGATCACATTACAATAATAATTCCACTTGATATGGAATTACACGAAATGCGATTGATAATTCTCTATGATCGATGACGCGCAAAGGATCGAATAAGCCTGTTTAAGACGCACTAAGTTCCGAGCAGAATTCGCTTCCAGCAGGAATCCTGTGCGCCGCATGAATCAAGTATAATAATACCTCGCTCGGAATCCGAATTCCTTATCGTAATGTAATAATGTACTTCCGATAGTTGCAGAATGTGCAAAACTATTCTCGTACGTATTAAAAATAAGTGTAACTCGATATTATGCAATCGCTGATGCGATTGCAACTTTAATTTAATTTATACTTGCAGAGTTTCTGGAACTTACCCATCTGATGATGGAGGGCCTCCAATGTGAAGGATGTGGACTTTCGCGTCACCGGAAACCGTGGGCAGGACGTGATGGGTCTCTCTCTTGGTTTAATTGATTGCACACGAAAATCGGCCTGCACTTGGACGCGGTTCCCCTCGGAGTCGCGCAAGTCCGAAACGGGTCCCCCCCGACATTGACATTGTTTATTGGACACATGCACACAAGTACAACCGGCAACAACAAAAAATATAATTTGAAAAAAAAAAAAAGCGGAGTGAGCCACATGCAATTATGTGGATGTGGACATGGAGACGCACGTACTTCTCTTATCCATGATGGTAGCAAATTCGCAAATGGGGGCCCCCGGAAGGTTGGAGGAATTGGAAGGTTGGAAATGCGCAATTTGCCCCACTACCGTGTGTGGTCGTGGATCGTACCGTGTGTGCATGTGGAACACCCGCGAGAACGACGATGGAAAACCAAGAATGCTATGGAAATCCATGCAACTCTCCACCTACAACAACAACCGTACAAGTTCCTCCCAGTTTCATTTCCACTCCTTTTTCAATTCATTTTATTTATTTTCCTCCTCTCTTAGTCTTCTACAGAAATTTTGCACAACAACTCATTTGCTTTCTTCGAATTCGTTAAAAAATTGAAACAATTGATAGGAGAATCACTCTTGGAAGTGGTGGGAGAGCACAATTATGCAACAACAACATTCACCGTCACTCATTTTTCATAACGAGCTCGCCATTTACGTTTATATCTTGTATATATACGTATACGCATCTCATTCAGCGGGGTTACGTAATCTATGTTTATATTTACGATCTGTGCAGTCTCACTAGTAACTTAAAATGAGGCAAGCAACCACGAGAAAAGCAAAGCATTTTTAATTATCGTAATTACATTAACTAAAAATTATACAACAATTATACAAAATATACAACAATAAAACACGATTGGTCAACATTAAAAAAATATAATTAGATTGGTTACATTCATTGATTTTTTTAACAAATTACTTACGATTTATATTATTTTATAAATGAGAAAATAAGTTGAACTATATTAGCTTAGGTTAGATTATTAGGTTATGATTATGTGGGATTATGTTGACTTGGCTTGTTAGTTTGGATTAGGTTAGGTTATATTAGTGTTTATATTAGGTTACATTTCGATAGATTTCCTTATGTAAAGTTTATCTATATTTTACTTAACAAACAAAATGGATCATTTTATTTACTAATATTCATTAATCTATAACTAAACTCTAGTTTATGCTAATGACAGATTTAGTATGAATTAATAAAATCTATGCTTTAACATTAACATACTTATTTATTTACAGTTTAATCTTTTTTGAAGAAGTACATATTTTTATAAAACTTAAAAAGTATAATAATAATTATAAAGGGTGTCCCAAAGGGTTGAAAAGATTTGAATATCTTAAAAATAATGAAAGTTTGGCAGCCGCAGTTCGAAAATTTTATACAAAATATGGTCGTGTTTTAACTTTTATGATTCAATAAAAAAATCACAATCTGAAGACTAAAAACTGTGTTTTCTATTTAATTCAAATCTTGTGTTAATTTTGGGACACCCTTTAATCATGTGCGACACAACCTTAATAGTAGTAACATAAATCTTAGTTAAACGAAATACATATATACAATAATATTTTTTTACTTTCTAAAATTGTAACTATGTTATAGGTACTTCTACAATTTTATTTTCATTCTGAAAAAACTCGGAGTGTTGACATTTCAATAAGTTTCAAATCAATTCGAGCGACAGGAAATCATATCGGAAATCAGAATTTTCTCTACTCCCAGAAAACTCCATCATACTTGAAGCAATTTCGAACAAATAAAAAATATATTTAAAGTATACATTTAGCAGTATTGTCAAATTATAATCTTTAAGTGCAAGCAATTGCGAAAGATTAATATTACTAAAATTAATAACATTCTATCTATTACAATACGAAATGGAGAAAAGTTCAATTTTAATAACTGTTTAAGGAAAATTATGAAACCTTAAAAATAATTAATTACGTTTATTCTTTTTTTGTTTTCAAGACTGAAATAAATAAATATAATTAAATAATTCCAATTATTTGCACAAATTTTGCCCTGTGTAGACACTTCTATCTTAAAATTTGTAAAAACATTGCATTGGAGAAAATTAACAAATTGATATTTCCTCTGATGGGTTTATTATATATTTACTATTATAAATTTAGATCAAATCAAATTATTTTATATCAAAATCAACCAATAAATATATTTTTAATTTTAATTATACAGAGATATATAAAATGTTGTAATTAGTAATATATTTGGCCCGTCGGAAACTGTATTTATGAAACAAATTGAACGTTGGCAGTAATCGATTTCGTTTCCGCGAATCGAACAAATTATTCTCTTTATTCGTATTATTTATTTCGGCGAAGTTAATTACAATTTTCGAAATGGCATCGCGAAGATTAAAAAATAATGAAATAATTCTGACAAACTCGTTGCGAGGTTGTGATTATACTACGAGGGTTTATAACCAAACAGATCACGAGTTTGAAATGATAAAAAACAAAGAAAACAAGCAGAAATAATACCATCAAGTTCATAATGCATGAGGGATGTCAAATGTGTGTGTGAGGTGCATGGGGGATGGTTGGAAAAATGCGCGGGCAACGGGCGCATTTGGTATGACCTACTTTCCCCAGCTGGAATGAAAACATGTACACCAAAACAAATCCCTCCGCCTCCTCCTGAGGCCGTCCCCTCCGTTCAACCCCTCGACGGCCTGTCGTAATACGGAGCAGTTGAAGATGGCCGGGATATTGATTGGTTCTGGTATATTCGGAAATTGCCGCTTATTTTATGGGGCGATGATTAAAACGGCGGCAACTAAAGGGTGCACAGAGATGCAGAGAGATGAACAAAAAAAATAAAATAAAAAAAGATGGATGTTGGATGGAGGAGTTCGCGTGGCAACGGAATAGTTGTTGGGTGAAGGTTGAAGCGGGGAGGTGAGAGAAGAGTTTGGCAGGTGGCGAGTTCTGCTGGGGGTGGATCCGGGCTGAGGTGGTGGTGATGGTGGTGGTAGAGTGGAACGGTGGCGGCGTGTGCGGAGCGCGCTGTGTGACCTAGACACGGTGACCTTGACCGTCAGGAGAGAGAAACGCGCGAGCTGGATCGATCCGCTACGTTCGCCAATCGGCGAAAGCTCTCGCCATATTTCATCCCCCTTCGCGCCGCACCACCACCACGCTTCCAGAAATCCATAATTACATCCCACCTACGCAGCTCAATATTAGGGTAGGATTGCATTATGCGTCTGCCCCCTACACCGAAATGCAAATAAAATCGTTATTGCGCTCGCAGTTTAACAAAGGAACATCAACAAACAACCGGGCGAAGAAGGGTAAAAAATATAAAGACAACCTCACAACATTTCATTATGCAAATGCATTTAAAGAGATATTAAGAGTAAATAAATTAAAAGAGATATTAAAAGATATTAAAGATATTAAGAGATATTAAAAGATATACTAAAAAGAAGACATGAACTATATCTTAATCATGATGTATCAAATTTTGAATAGCTCAATAATTAGCATATTATGGAAAGCATCAAGTGAAAGCCCTAATTATATTACACCTTCACTAAAAATGCTCATTTAGTAAAACTGTATAATTATATAATAAACTTTATATCAATGTATATTATATATCAAATTAAGACGATAATTAATAATAGACAGGCAAATACTCCAATATTCTTTAACCCTATTTTATCGAGTTCTTAGTATAGTAATGTTTTGAATAACTCTCCATGTCTAATAAGCATGTAGCATTATTAAATGAACTTCAAATCCAACAATTATATATACGCATCTCCAACAAATAATTTCTATGTGCACTGTCAAGTTGTCAAAATGTAAAATGCTTTAAATAATTATAAGAAGAAGCGTATTACTTACTATAATTTTTGTAAATCTTATTTTACCAATATAAAATATTTACTAAATTTGACGAAATGCAACGCAAATAATTATTTCATATAATCTCCAAGAAGAAATTTAGTAATGAAAATTGTCAATTGTATCTACGTATCTTATTACTAGAAAATATAAACTAAAACTATAAGAAATATACTCTAATTTAGACCTAAATTACATAACAATATCTTCAGTACTTCTCTGCATGTCTTTTCCATAGAAGACATTTGACAACATTATGATAACATCAAATAAATCCAAATTACAACAATTGGAACATATATACATAGTATATAATCTATGCCAGAGGTTCCCATATTAAAGAAAAACTACTATTAACATAAAGTTCGCCCAGAGATACACCAATGTTTTGACTTGGGCACCGCAAACCGAAAAATTTATGATATGTATGTATGAAATGAATAAATAAATTATCCAATTTGAAAACCATAAAAAAAAATTTCTTGCATAAAGTCTTCAAATCTAAATTTGTCTGAGACCTCAATTGCAAATGTATTCCCGAGATAATGAATTATAATTTTCTTTACAAAAATAGATGAGATAATGTTACTATTTGTAGATACATAAATATAAAGGATTCTGATTGATCATCAGTAAAATAAATTGTTATAAAATTTGCTAATTTATATCAATGCAAATGGAGGCGCATTAATTACATAATCTGAGTACCGTCCAACCGACGAAATCAAATCGTAATTCGAGCAGAAAATCGACGTTCACGTAATTGTATTGCATTTAGCGAATGGAAAATTTGATCCAGAAATTTGACCTACTTTTCAGATTTACATTTATTCCAGAATTACATTACAATACAAATCAATTCAACATTTAATATGTACTGTTTACTTGTAAATTTTGTAAAGAAATCATTTAGATTTTCTTCATTTCAAAAACTTAGACCACAAAACATCATCAGTGACGGCTGATAATAGAAACAGGTGGGGAATGACTAGGTTTGTCAACTATAACATGAATTTGTGTACTAGTTATACAAAAGAAAGGTGGACGCGCCTCTGATCATCACTATACATGTTGAGGTTTAATAAAACATTAATATATCTATGTTTTAACAGCAAATTTATTTAGTTAACTATATTTGATTAATGAAATATAATATATATCGGTGAAGTATATATTTAAATATTCAGTTTGTGCCAAATTATGTTATGTATATATTTCAATATAAAGCCTCTTTCATTAAAATATAATTAAAAAATGATTTTTATAAAGAAAAGAAAGTGTCATGTTATTTCATCAGAATGTTGTACGAAGTATGTATTCAATTGGATAATGAGAAACTACGAGGTGCATGTAAATAGACAAAAGCTGTTCATTATATTTGAATAAAAAGAAAATTTGAGAGCAGATGGACACTCCACCTTCTGGTTTACAATCGAAATTTCTACATGCAATTTAACATGAGGAATCACGATTTGACCAGAACTTTCGGTAATAGTTTATAAACTGTACGTTTCAGTGGATTTATAGATACTAAATTATTTCGTAACAGTAATTCCAGAATCATAAGCGGATTGCAAAATCGGTGCATATGTGAAGTTACAAATACAATTATTTTATAATGTTGCTATATACAGCAATACCTCGCATTGTGCGGTTGCGACCAGTGCGAATCCAAGGTTTGAAGAATTTAAAAGAAACTAAAGTATGGTTTCAAACAGTCTGGGTTATTGGCAAAACTGAATTAAAATTGGCAAATGTGGTTCAAAAGCTGCAAATCGCTAACACAAAAATAAAAATTGCGTACTGCAATGACGTGCAATGAACGTAGTTTCTAAATTAAACTACGATCATTATTATAATTTTTTTTATAACGAACTTGTTCAAACTAACAAACTTACATAAGAATTTACATTTCAATCAATGAACTGCATCCGGGTCTAAATTTAAACCGATCCTTCGAACTGAGAAGACTTTGATCTGCAGCTGTAATTTAAATACTGATTTCATTAACCAATTTCAACTTATATTCTCTTAAATGAAATGCGTTATGCAATATCAGTTATTTTTTATTTGATAAACCTACACGTTATGAATATTTTCGACAATGAATTTTATTGTGAACCATCGGCTTTGATTATTTCTATGCAGCTCTGAACAATGGAAAACAGTATTCGGAAAATGCGGGGCTTAATAAAATGCGAGTGGTTCAAAATAATACTTGGAATTCTACAATCCTTTATGTTCGTCTGCAAAAATACCAATGAATATAAAAAAATAGTTCATTCTCAAATAAAAATCTGGTAATATTTATACATTTGTAAGCAAACTTATTCATATTTCCAATTTTATTTCCATTTAAAATAAAATTAAAATTATTGAGAATACATATTAATTAATACAATATAATAAGATTTATGTAATTTTGAATGTGAAAAGGATACATATGAAGGAATGAGTTTTTTCAAACGTAATTTTAAAGTTGAAGTAATGAAATGAAAATAAAGGTTGATGAAATATAATTAGAATTAGCAAATACAATAAGCAAATAGTATAAAGTATATCATCATAGTTATGGAATGAGAGAGTTATTATGAAGCACGCAATATCATTTAGCAGTTATATATAGAATATGCTATAATAATAAATGCAAATTATTCACAATCTTCAATAAATTATTGCTCCTTTAATGAATTTATTTTACTAGTTTTATAGAATTTTCCTCTATAATTAGGTTAAAAATTCATTAAAATATTTGTACAAGTTTTTCAAACGTTTGGTTTATTACTTTCTGCACAAATCAATTTATTTTATTAGCTATATGCAATGCATTTGCATTTACATATGTATGTCAATTTCAGTAAAGTATGTGTCTATTAGTATTAATTTTAGTAAGTGATAAATATAACGAGTATTTATTTAATAATTTACATTTAAGTTTATAGTACACATATGTGTTTAGCATCTAAACTTATCTTTAAATATCTAACAGCTATGTTTTAAGCATTTAAGTAATTGTTAGATATTTGGTTAAATTATGTAACATTCTATTACTATTTTGCTTGTTCACAAATTTGTACTGAATATTCGTGAAGTAATAATTAATTATAATATTATGCAACTAATATTAAAATAACAATGCTGCCAACATTTCTGTCTGCAACTGCATCCTACATGGATGTAGTTTGGTACGTTGCGCGCGTTTCATCCACTTGTCAAAATATGCAAGTGACAACATCAACATCGTTAACCTGGATTTAAACAGTGCTAAATAATGGCTACATTACCTCCAAGGAGGAACCCAACCCCGACGAAAATATCCAAGCAACATCTGACGCCGTTGCAGATCTTGTTGCAGATGGGATTCCCCAAACATAGAGCGTTAGTTGCGTTGTTTATAATCTCAGTTTTTCATATAGTGTTTTTAATTTGATGCATTTGCAAAACAAAAAGTTATTTTAATATGTTTATTGTATGAACAGAGAAAAGGCATTGGCAGCAACTGGTAATCGTGGAGTGCAGTTGGCTTCTGATTGGCTTTTGGCTCATGTCAACGATCCACTGCTGGATGATTCAGCTCCAAGGGAATACATCTTATATGCATGCCCAGTAGGTCCATTTCTTGAGCAGCTGCAGAACTTCTGGGAGCTCACCCTAATCCACTGCGGATGGAATGGTGCTCATAATTTTACACCACATATTACTTTGGTTTCATTCTTTAAGGTATTTTGATGCATTTAATTAATATGTTTATTATATTAACTGCTTTTTTTATAAGGCTCCTGATGAGGATGCACCACATCTTTCGCAAACACTGAAGAGTGTAATGGATAGGAATGGGGCTTTACTAAATGAGCCCCTGAAACTTGAAACATATGCTTCACACAATTTTATGGGCTTCTTTGTATCTGAAGAGCATGCAGATTATTTGAAGAGAATTGCTATGCAATATGTGAAAGAAGTGTCCAATGCTAGTAAGAGAACACATATGAAATGGACTGCTAGTGTAGCCAAATTATTATTAGTTGTTGTTTATTATTTCTGTTCACGGTTTTTCCTTTTTTATTTTCTCTGTGTATTTAGTATACTAGTTGTAACATGGTTGTTGGTGTCAAATAACTAAGGTGTTGGTTCTTTCAGTTATTAGTGACACTTATGAGCATTTTGATGCTTTAACTGCCTGTTTTCCATGGTGTTCGACCACCACGGCTAGGTGTATACCAAGGGGTAGCAGATGTAAGATTACTAATAGCTTACATAGTCTTTAGGAAGAGAAAACCAATCGCGAGCTGAAGAAGTAACACAATTGTCTTGTCATTACAGCGATCAGCTTAGAACCGCACGTTAAATCACTCCATTTAACATTGGCCTACCAGTTTTCCACAAACAACTACGCACACTTGAAAAGTCTTGTGGAAACTTTGGATCCAAGTACTTCGAGCGCTTGGGAATTGAGGTTGTATTCGCGAGACCCTAGAGTGAACGGTAAACAAGTCCACAAGGTACACAATCAATAAATAAATCATATAATTATGATAATAATTGAAAGTATTTATACGTAAGGTGATTCATCCGTACACCCCTTTGGAAAATGATGAATTGGAATTGCGCACAGGAGATTACGTCTATGTAAGCAGCGAAGCTTTGACCAATTCACCGGACGGTTGGGTTGAAGGCACGTCGTGGTTGACAGGCCAGACTGGTTTATTGCCAGAGAGCTATACTGAAAGGACTGCAGAATCTGATGCTTGGACGTTGCATAAGAAGGTGGCTTTGAATCAAATTTCGGTTGGAAACTTGACCACTTTATCGGCAAGTCCAGATTCTATTCCTAAAATTGAGACTGAAATTGATTCAATCGTGAATCAAGTTGATGCTGACGTTGATACTTATACGGAGGACGTCGAAAATCTAACAATATCTGAGAAACATCAAGTGTGTATAATTACTATTTGTATTTAGAGAGTTTAGTTAAAATTTAAATTTTGTTAGAATGCTGTTCCGGAAAACCAAAAGCTCTTCGTCATGCGTCACGGTGAAAGAGTGGACTTCACATTCGGATCTTGGATACCACATTGCTTTGACAAGGAAGGTAAATATATACGCAAAGATTTGAACATGCCGCTCAGTGTTCCTCAGAGGAAACTTGGACCTCCCGGTTTTATAAAAGATTCTCCTTTAACTAACGTCGGTGTCCTGCAAGCAACTTTGACTGGGGAAGGATTGAAGCATGCAAAAGTTAATATAAAGTATGCTTTTGCTTCGCCTTCCTTGCGTTGCGTTCAGACATGCGATGGAGTACTGAAAGGGTTGGGTTTGAAAGATTCCGTGAGGATTAAGCTGGAGCCAGGGTTGTTTGAATGGCTGGTCTGGTATCAAGATGTGAAACCTGATTGGTTGACTGTTGACGAACTGAAAGTTGCTGGTTACAATATAGACGAAGATTACACGCCGTTCATTACAAAATCGGAATTGTTTAAATCGCAGGAAAATTGCGAACAGTTTTACAATAGAAGTGGTTTCATAACCAAAAGCGTTCTTGATGAGAATAAGGCTGGTAATATATTATTCGTCGCTCATGCTGCTTCCGTTGAGGTTTGCACCAGACAAATTTTGGGCCTAACTCCGAGATCTGTCAATGAACTGACTGGCTTAATTCCGCATGTTCATTATTGCAGTTTGGTGGAATTGGAGAAAAAAGAGGATTTGTGGGAAATGAATGAACCTCCGATTCCTCCAGTGACTCATTACAACAATCCACGTTTTAATTGGAGCCTCATACAGCCCTAAGTATGTTCATTAATATTTTAAGACTTGACAATATATTTAAGCGAACGTTGTGAATGTAAGTAAATGAAACGTACTTGCAAAGTAAAATCTCTATTTTCTAATCTCAGATTACAACTATATATGCAATATATATATATAAAACATTAAATCACGTATAAGTATTAAATATTTACAATTTTAAACTACAGTATTAAGTTATTCTCATTATATTATATATTGAATGTTTTATTAGTCTTACCAAAGAGTCTATGGAATATTTAGATTTACTGGATGTTATCGCTAATTATAATTTAAACAATATAAATGAACCATTACAAAAATAATTCAATAAATTTTAGCTCAAACTAAATTTTTGATACATTTTTTGTTTATTTAAGACCTTATTTCCACCATGTATAATATTTTTTATTAATTATTTTAATCATTCTCTTAAATTAGAAATATATGGTTAGATATATATTCTAATACGATATATTTCTATCCTTAATTATTGCTTTAAGACATTTGCGTCTATTTTACTAAGTACTTGAGATAGGCAACTTGAATACCACTTGGATTTAATTTGACCTAAACGTGAATTGTATATAATTTATTATGATTACCTAATGCTATAATTATATTATATGTACTTTTCCAGTATATAAATAGAAAATAGTAAGCTAATAAACCATAAATCAATTAAAAATTGCAATTAAACGTATTAACTTTGAAACGTTTACCAACTTAATAAGACATAATGTGAAAAGTACGTCCACACATGAGATTCCAAAGTCCATGGTCCAATCTGGGTTCTAATCTATGTTGAATTTACTAGTTGAATATTAATTTGGTGCTGTTTTTCGTGATTTGTTGGTGTCGATAAACATCTTTGGCAAAAATGGCTCGTGTACTGGTTGGAGTTAAGAGAGTTATTGACTATGCTGTTAAGGTAATTCCAGTTGCACCAATTCTATCAAATATTATTCCAATAGGATTGATAATATCGTCTGTATTATAAAATATCTTATTACATGTGGCAGACATGATAAATATTCACACTTATCACAATTTGCATTTCAACAATTTATTGTAATCAATATATTAATGTATTAAATATATTTAATTGAAATGATCAGATACTGAAAGAACATAATGACAATGTTATTTACAGATGTAAATATTATTGAATTTTAAAGTTCTTATGATTCTTTATTGCAAATTTTGGATTATATAACATACTAGATTCACTGTATTTTTTCTTACATGTAACTGCAGCTTTAGTAATATTGTGAATGAATCAATTATTATTTATAAATGTTTTAGAACTATTTAAATAATTATGTATGTATGTAAAATTGTATAACATCAAGTAAAAATAATATTCTTGGTTTTGATTTGAATTTGTTTAATTATTTAGAATATTATAAAATTGTATATTGTGATGATTTATTCTTCAGATTCGCGTGAAGCCAGACAAGAAAGGTGTTGTTACTGATGGCGTGAAGCACTCCATGAATCCATTCGATGAAATCGCCGTCGAAGAGGCTGTCCGCATGAAGGAGAAGAAGATCGCATCTGAAATTATTGCCGTCTCTTGCGGTCCGGCCCAAAGCCAAGAAGTGATTAGGACTGCGCTCGCTATGGGAGTCGACAAGGGCATCCACGTCGAGATTCCAGCTGCCGAGTACGAGACTCTTCAACCCATCCACGTCTCCAAGATCTTAGCTAAGATCGCCGAGAAGGAGAAGATCGACCTCATCATTGTTGGCAAACAAGTAATGCTACCACATTGAGAAACGTTACGAAGAATCAATATGAAAGATTTAACATGTTTTATTAGGCCATTGATGATGACTCCAATCAAACCGCCCAAATGACCGCCGCCGTTTTGGACTGGCCACAGGCCACCTTCGCCTCTCATGTAAGTGAATAATGTTGATTTCGTAATACCAAGGTTAGACGTTATCACTTTATCCCAACAAAATACAAGAGTCACGATCCTAGTAGCTTGAAAAGCAAATATTTGATAGTTAATTAACAATTTTCTGAATAGAGTCTTCGCGTTTTTTATTTACATATTTCATTTTTAAATTATTTACTTCAATTATGTACAATATATTCGATTTCCCTATTGTGGAGATGAATTGAGTGCAAAAATCCAATGTTAACTTTTCACTTTTAACGTACATCTATAATTATTTTATCCTCAGAAGTAACGTATAAATATACGCTCGAACGTACAATGACATTCGGACTAGTCCAGCATTCACTTTGTCTTTTCAACTTATGTTTAAATTAAAGTTCATCAAAAAATAGTTTGAGACGGTCTGAAATATCTATAATATATTGAGATTCGACGGAAATGTGTACGTTCGTATGTACTGCGAACGAGGAGATATATAAATATAAAAATTGTAAATACATTTATATGGAAATTCACCGAATGATTAACGTCCATTCGCTTAGCGTACGACAATAGGAATTTACATTGAGTCCGTTAGCTTATCGCTGAATGTATATAGATTATTATTACAAAAAACCTGTCAAACTTGTATTAAATTATTTTTGTTTCTATTATAAATATAGATTGAAAAGGGAGACAAGGAACTTACTGTAAAGCGTGAAGTCGATGGTGGAATGGAAACCATCAAATGCAAAATTCCAGCTGTCATCAGCGCCGATTTGCGTTTGAACGAGCCAAGATACGCCACACTACCAAACATCATGGTATTACATCAATTCCATTAAGTATAATAATCAGTTATATTACATTGGTTGTTATTTGTAGAAAGCTAAGAAGAAGCCGATCGCTAAGATGACTCCAAAGGACTTGGGAGTCGACATATCTCCACGTATCGAAATCGTCAGCGTCGAAGATCCACCAGTTCGTCAACCAGGTGTGATTCTCCCTGACGTGGATGCTCTCGTCGGAAAATTGAAGGAGGGTGGACACATTTAAATGAATTACAATTACCAACTAACTGAACAAATTACTACCATCAATTTGGAGGTATTTCAATGTAAAAGGCTGTTTCTTTTTATATGTAAATACTTTTGTTTTTAACTGCAGTGCCTAGAAAAATTTCGTATAATAAAAAAAATATATTTTTTACAAGTGTTACAAACGGACTTCTTATTTATTGCTTTGTGAAAAATAATAGACATCATTTGATAGAAAATATCGAGTATCTTTATTAAAATAAACTTACAATAATTTTATTGGTAGACAATAATAATTTTGTTCTTTTTTCATTTATTTTGTTTTATACAAATTTTAAATTGCGAAATACTAAATACAAATAATAATATATATATACATGTAATACAATTGCACGATCTGACGAAAAATGGGGTTTGTCAAGTGAAACGCCCATACAAAAAGGAAAACATAATTAAAACAAAAAAAGTAGTAGTAGTATTTTACACAATAATTACTAGAATATGTTTAATATAAATATAGAATCGGTGTGTTCGAAATAAACGGATCGGCAATATGAAAATCCACTTTGTAAATGTGGTGTCGCATCTATTAAATATTTTGTTATAAGTAACTTGCACGAAATTAATTACATAAAAAAATCATTGAGACTAGTTATAATGTAGCATTATTAGTTTTAATACTAGAAATTATTATGACAATTGACCAGCTAAGGTGCAAGACTTGCAGCAGAACTTCGCGTAGTATTCGTGCTTGCAGAATTTCGCTTTAACAATTAAATCGCATTTGGCGAAGAATTGATTGTCGGTGCAGTCCGCTCGAATATCTGAAATAAATTAAAATTGTAAATGTATGCTTCAAAAGATGTCAGTTAACAAAGTTACCTTGCGTCTGAATGTGGACCTCACTAAAGGCATTGCTGTATTGATTGCCTGCAACGCACTTGTAGTAGCCGGAATCGTACATGTCGATATGTCTTACAGTCAAACGGTTGCTCTCTGGAAAGTATTGTATTTAGCGATGCTGTAGTTATAAACTAGATGTAAATTATAATTACCTGAGATAAAATATTTTTCGGACTCCGTTATTTCAATGTTGTCTTTGTACCAGTGAACTTGAGGCGTAGGATATCCATCGACATCGCAAGGAATGGTAATGTTGCTACCAATGGCATAGCTTTGTTCGGGCAGTACCATATTTATTTTGATTGGTACTAAAAATCAAATTATATTTAGACAATATTCTTTCCTGTAATGAGCATATGCGTCGAAAGCTATTTAAACTTAACTCATTATAGTTTATTTCTTACACTGTAACTATACATTTGCAAATATATGAAAGCTTTGAACGATTATCGAGAAATTATTTTAGTCATGACAACTAGGTAAGCTATGGTAATTATAAGCGGACAAACGTTTTCACACAAAAAAAAACAAGGACATGCGATCTGTAGCCAAAGCGTTATTTGTAAACCAACGTGCATACCAATTAGAGGTGCTCCAATGTTCCAATGTTGTTCAGGTCTTATTTCTGGTTGGGGTTCGGTGTACGGTTGTGGGATAAATGGTTGAGGTGTTGGTGGTGGTGGAGGAGGAGGTTGTATCGGTGGTACAGTACCCCGTGGTCTGTAAGGATACTGGGGACGTTCGATAGTTTCAGGTCTTGTAGGAGCATCAACGACGTATTTCATGTATATCTGTTCATCGGGGTTAGTAGTGTAAACGGGTCCGTAAGCTTGGACGGTGACCGTCCAACTTGCCGCCTTTCCAAAACCTGTGTACGCTTGACACGTGTATGAACCCAGATCGGTCAATTGGACCGAATGTATCTGAAGGGAATAGTCTTTGCGCTGTTCGTAGAAGTTATTTTTTAGTGGCAGCATAGAGTTATTCCTCCACCATGTAACCGACGGGAATGGGAAACCTAATGCGTAACATCTTAATTCCGCTCTCGAACCAAGAGAGACTATGTGTTGCTCCTCGGGCATCTCGTAAATACGAGCCGGAGATTCTTCTCCATCTACATTGTTAAATTTTATATTTACATTCTATGTTAATCAAACTACACGTACATGCTTTCACGGTGATTATAATGCAAATAAGAGAAGTATGAAAAAAAAACTTACCTTCGACGTTCAACGATATTTGGTTATGCATTGGTTGACCAATGTTATTGTCGGCGACACACACGTACACGCCAGAGTCGGTCTTATGCAAGGTGATGATGTTTAGAGTACCATCGAACTGAATCCTGTACTTTGCTTGAAGACCATCGATCTAAGCGAAATAGTTAATAAAAAAATGTTTCGAATTCGAACAGATTAAATGTCCTCACCAAAAGATTATCTTTTCTCCAGGTGATCTTGGGATTGGGATTACCTCTAACCGCGCAGTCAAGTGTAACCATGTCACCTTCTTTGCCCGTAACCTCCGGTTTATAAATTTCATAATTTATTTGTGGTGGATAATCTAATCGGAAGAAAGTATATTATATAATCTCAGAAAGTATGAAAACTTTTAATACGCACAACCAATATTGACTGATGGATCAGTGTAGGCTGGTTGATAGTTTGCTGTAACTAATTCAGCTGGTTGACTGTATGGAGCCACGCAAGCCATTCCGCATCCTGTTGAACAGCACTTCAAATCCATTAAACAACCAGCATCGTTATAGCATTCATTGTTGCATTGCTCTGGATTTTCTTGTATCGCCGGACATGAACCAGGTTTCGAAACTGGAAATTAAAAAAAAAATGTTAATGTTTATTTAATTTAGGTGGGTCTCCAACAAAACTTACTCAGTCTACAAACGGGAACGTAGGAAGCATCCTGTTCTGAAGTCCTGTTCATGTTTATATCGACTCCGCATTGAGAATTTTCATCGCAGACTTGTCCTTCGCATGGATCGTAGCATGAGCATTTGGTGCACATATTCTCATCAATGCTACTCTTTCTACCGTAAGCGCATTTCATTGTATTACATGTTTCTTGCTCTTCAAGGCACAAGTTCGGTACTTCTGTTGGTAATTCGCTATCAATTTCGTTGACTAGAAAGGGAAAAATCATACTTTAAGACATTTGTATTCTTTATAGATTTTAAAGCATATTGTAAAGCGCAAGTTGTATTGTTATAGAAGCGGTTGTGCTGCTATTAGGTATAGTGCAGTGCACTTACTAGGTGGAGGTATATAATCTCCGCACGTGTCAATACATGCTTGGAAACTATTAAATCTGTTGAAGTTTCCACCGCAACCGGTATAAATAAATGCCATGCATTCTCCACGCTCGTCGTTAAAGTACCAATGTTTGTAGCTATTTTGGTAGCATGTGCCACTATCCACCGGCAAACGGCAAATTTCTAAATGTAAAAGAGACATTTAGTGAAATAGAAGAAATGTGAAAAACAGACACAAACAAAGAACATTCCCATAACCAGGTTTCAGGAGATAATGTGCTTACAATCAGACTTCCGAACATACCTATATTGCTAACGTTTGTTTTGCTAACGTTTGTTTTGGTCTCCTCGTGGAGCAAGCAAATGCCTTCGCACTCCGAAATAGAACTGAATCTGTTGCCGTTTCCTTCACATCCTCCATAATTAAACTCTGCGCAGCGACCCAACGAACTATCGTAATAAGATTTCCTTATTTGAGCCCTGCATGGACCAACATCCACGGGCATTTTGCAAACATCTATGGAAATGAAGAGAAAAATAATTAAAGATTTTCTAACATTCTGATATTAGTACCTTGTCCTCTGAATCTTCCGCATTGTCTTTCGCACTGTTCCTCACTGTTGTATCTGTTAGCGTTTCCACCGCAACCAGAGTAAGTGAATGTTTGACATTTGTGAGTTGCAGGATCGAAAAAGTATGCAGCGATACTGTCGTTGCAGTTTCCGGTATCAACAGGTTGATAACATATTTTGGTACTGTCATCCAATTCTTGAACTAAGTTAAATTGCATCAGTTGTATCTATCGTGTGTTTTTTTAACAATCTTACCTGGTTGCTCAGGTGGTGGTGCCTGTGTAGCTGTGAAAGGTCCACGTTTGCATTTCTGCTCGCAATCGACCAGTTTGTCGAACCTATTATCATTGCCTTGACAGCCTCCGAATTTAAACGGTTCGCAGTTATCTGTAGTGGAGTTGTAGAAGAAACTATCGTAGTGCGCATTGCAAGGACCTACCACCATAGGCAAAGCACATAGGTCCCTAGCATTTCCGCACTTCTGTATACATTCATCGGACGTTTTGAAGTTGTTCCTATTGCCACCGCATCCGCCGTACATGAATTGCATGCATACACCGTTTTCGTTATAGAACCATCTTGCTTCGACATTGTCTCTGCATGGTCCAGCTTCGCTTGGCAGGAAACAATCATCTACAAAACAAATGTAATTTATGAATTAAATAACAGTACTTTATAATCATATTGTTCTTATTCAACTTACTAATAGTCCTAACATTTGTTAGTTATAAAAGAGAATTACAAATAAATTACATTTTCTTATTTGATTGACTCGATAGATTTGTACACTTACCTTGCTTGAAATGATCTAATACTTCGTTGTTTTCTTCGGGTTCCACTTTAGGCTGTAATTCTTGTCGAACTGCAGATTCGGGCTCTGGCTGAGATTCAGGTTTTGTTTCAACTTCGCTTTCAGATTTATCGCATCTTCTCAGACAGTCATCTTCAGTAATGAAATTGTTATCATTACCACCGCAACCGCCGTAATAGAATTGTCTGCAAGCTTTGTCTCTTGTATCATAGTACCATTTAGCAACGTATTCTGAGCAATTTCCAACATCAGAGGGAAGTTGACAAGTATCTTTGACTAAAAACACGTTAAAAGACAGAGATTAGTCATCAAATAATTTAAAAATTGTAAGGTATTATTGTTAATATTGAGTAATACCAGTGACTTTCAATAGCTTTACTCACTAATATCTTGAGGACAGTCCGCCTCGCAATGGTCTTTACTTTGGAAATTATTTTTGTTGCCATCACAACCAGAAAAGTAAAACGGCATGCAGCGTTTTTGAGATGCATCAAAGTACCATCTGGGTTCATTTTTGGTGCAGTTACCCTGCGCTCTTGGTAAAGAGCAGTGATCTATTGTAAGTAAATTATATGAAGAGGTTAGAAACATGCGTTAAAGTAGTGGTGTATATTAATTATTTGTTAAGACTTGTTATTATGTTTAACTATGAGTCATGCAGAAATATAGAAATATAGGAATCACGTTATAGTTTCTAAATTTCGAGTTAATAGGTTCAAAAATTATATAAAAAAAACATACCCTTTCTCCTGTTGGGATCTGAACATTTTTGCTTGCAAGCAATTTCAGTTGCAAAATTGTTACTATTTGCCTTACAACCACCATAATAAAACTGCGAGCAAGTGGATGATTCTTTGTCGAAATACCAGCGCAGATACTGTCCACGGCAAGGTCCTTCTTCTTTCGGTTGATCGCAAGCATCTATCAAAGTTTCATTTATTTAACACGCTGTTAAGAAGAAATACACCAATACCTACCAGAATAAGTATCGACGACGCATTCATTTTGACACTCTTCTGCTGTTTCAAATCTGTTATTATTTCCAAGACATCCTCCGTAATAGAATTGACTGCATTGATTACGATCTTTATCGTAATACCAGGACGGGTAATAACCTTCACACGCTCCAACAACCTTCGGTAGTTTACATCTGTCTTTGCCCTGCGGTTCAACGCACACCTCTTTGCAGTCTTCTTGACTTTTGAAACGATTATTGTTGCCATCGCATCCTCCGTACCAGAACCTGGAGCAACCACCGTATTCCATATCGAAGAACCATTTGACAGTATAGTTCCTGCAAGATCCACGTTCTTTTGGTAACGAGCACTCAGCCTGTTTGTTAACTGGAACATCTTCGCATCCTTCGAAATTATCCCCTTGTGCATCAGTAACTCCATCGTGGCAGCAACCATATGTCGAAGATTCGCAGCCGCATCCCTCTTTGTTCGGACCTCTTGCGAGTGTTTGGTTATCAGAGCAACATCCGTATTGAGTTTTTCCACATTCGCATCCTGATGGTGTTTCAAATATATTATTGATATTAATCTTGGATGTAATAAATAATTTACCTTGTTGCTGTGCTCCAATTGCAATGGTGATGCCGTCAGGACAACAACCGAATTGGAATGTGTGACAAAGGCATCCTTGATACTCTGGTCCTGCAGCTGGTGTATAATTGTCTGGACAGCAACCGTGTTCCGTATGTTGGCAACCGCATCCTTCGTTATTTTGACCTCGCGCAGATGTGATGTTGTCAGGACAACACTTATATGGAGAATATTCGCAGCCACAACCTATTAATAAGGATTAAATAAAAAAACATCCACATCTTTCTATATTCCAATGAATTACCTTCCAGATTGAGTCCCTCTGCTGCCTTAATGTTATCTGGACAGCATCCGTATACTGTGGCCAAGCAACAGCCTTCTCTGTTATAACCATGACTTGGTGTAAGGCCGTCTTCGCAACAACCAAATGTACTGTTGGAACATGCCACTGCACAACCTCTGAAGTTTCGTCCTTGTGCTATGAAAAATAAAAGTTTGTAATGTTAGAAGTATAAAGATTGCAAAGAAAATACCTGACGTTTCGCCATCTGGACAACATCCAAACTGCGAATGTATGCAATTTTCCTTTGGCAATGGGCAACCCTCAAAGTATTTCCCTTCTGACTTAGTTTCCCCATCCGGACAACAACCGAATGTAGATTCCGAACAGCTAATAGATGCAACTTCCAAAATCTCCAAGCATCCTTCCTCGTTTGGACCTTTCGCTTCAGTGGTATTATCGCTACAGCAACCAAATCTGTGAATATTATTGTAAATTAGTTTTCGAAATGGCGTAATTAAAGCTGTGCACATACGTAGATTTAAGACATTCCGGCGGAGGCGCCGGGCATCCTTCGTTTTTTTCTCCTTCAGCCGGTGTCCTATTATCAGAACAGCAACCGAACAATGACTCCTCGCAGTGAGAGGATGGACATCCTTTGAAGTTATCTCCGAGAGCCATAGACACGCCGTCTTCGCAACATCCAAACTCGGTTTCCTTGCAAGTTTTGGGAATCGCGCATCCTTTGTCGAATGGACCCTGGGCGGATGTAACTTTATCGAAACAACATCCGTATGTACTTGTCTTGCAACTCTTCTTCTTCTTGCGCCTGCATTTCTTTGGTTTTGGTGTAAATATTTCCATAATTTCCGTTGTTTCCCAATCCGTTGAACCGCTTTCAGTTGTTGATGACCAAATGTCGAACTCTGAAGAGCTCGTTACATCTGTTAATGCACTGACTGTCGTTCCTTCCATGTCGTAATCAGTAGTACTATCAATATCTGTTGCGTCGGTTGTTTCGAATTCTGTGGTGAATTCACCAGATAGCATTTCTACAGTAGTAATATCGGATTCTACAGTAGTAATATCGGATTCTACAGTAGTAATATCGGATTCTACAGTAGTAATATCGGATTCTACAGTTGTAATATCGGATTCTACAGTTGTAATATCAGATTTTACAGTCGTGGAATCAGTTGCACTAGCGTCCAATGTCGTAGACTCATCAGATTCAAGAGATACAGTTGTTGCCTCACTGTCTTCAGTTGATGCAGATTCACTTGCATCAACCATTTTCTTTGTTGACTCGCTATCTTCAATTGTTGAAGATTCACTAGTATCAACCATTTTCGTTATTGCCTCGCTGTCTTCAATTGTCGAAGACTCACTTGCATCAACCATTTTCGTCGTTGATTCGCTATCTTCGATTGTTGACGAATCACTTGTTTCAGTCATTTTCGTTGTCAATTCGCTGTCTTTAATTGTTGAAGACTCACTTGTATCAACCATTTCAGTTGTAAGGTCGCTATCTTCAATTGTTGAAGAATCACTTGATTCAGCCATTTTAGTGGTGGATTCGCTATCTTCAATTGATGTCAAATCACTTGCGTCAACCATTTCAGTTGTAGACTCATCACCTCCGCTTGTTGTTGATTCACTACTATCAATTAAGTCGGATGAAGATTCACTAACATCATAAGTTGGAATATTAGTAGCTGAGTCCGTGGTATAGTATTCGGTTGTCATATCTGAACTAATTTCTTTCGTTGTTGATTCTATGTCAGTTTTAGCCGATATATCTAAAGTAGTCATTTTTGTTGGTTGCGGTAAGTCTGATTCATTCAAAGTGTCTTCGCTTGATGAATCTATAGGTTCATCCGATTCTGATTTTATGGTTGAAGATTCATTTGTTTCTGTATTAGATTCATCGCTAGAACTCTCTGTGCTTTCATTGGAATAAGTATCCGTATTGGAAGACAAGGTAATATCTTCAGTTACACTGTTTTCGGAACTAATTTCAGTAGTGGAATCAATTATTTCTGATGAATCTTCCGTTGGGTTGGTGTCAAACTCTGAGGATGCAGATGAAGGGTCAGTGAAGACATCAGTAAAATCATCTGTACTGTAGTCCTCTTCAGAAATTGTGACGTCTGATCTTTGTCTTGTACTTCCAACAGAAGCTTGTTGTTCGGTGGTTAAGTCTTCAGAAATTAATGTGCTTTGATCATCTCCAGAACCTTCGTCTGTGTTAGTCCACGAGGTTTCTGTAGATTGCCCAGATCCTTCAATAAAACGCTCTAAGAGTTTGTCATCTGCATTGGGATCATCGCCATACATTAAATCATCTGTAGCCAAGGACGGTTCAGCAGAAGGTTTATCATTGGAATTTTCAATAGTCAGATCATCATAAACCCATTCACCGTCATCGCACTCATCGGCATCTACTATTTCGTAATCATCTTCGTTCTCCGTAGTTACCTCTTCGGGCATCATAGTGGTAGTAGAGTCTTGATCTGTAACATCTACTGGGTTCGTTACATCGACTGGAAGAATTTCGTCTGAAAGTAAGAAAACACAATTTTTAATTTCATTGTAATCGTTCTGATAAAAAAGTTTACCTTTATCGCATGCTTGTTGATTGCAGGATTCCGATCCTGATGGAATCGATGAAGGTCCACAATTGGTGATATTAACAACGAGTCCCTCGGACAAGCATACAATCTTTCTCGCTTTCTGCCCACCACCGCATTCTTTTGAGCACTAAAAAATACAGTTCAAAGTTATAAGAAAAAAAGTTCGAAAACCTTTGTCGTAGATTTAGTTGTACCTTGCTCCATGGTCCACTAAACCACTCCCCGGTGCAAGTCTCCAGTTCACCAACGCATTCCTCTTCCTTGTTGTACCTTTTCGCAGGATCGCAAAATTTATCGTCCTTCTTTTCGAAAGTGTCGACGGAAGCGCAGAACACTTTACGAGTTTTAACGCCACTTCCGCATTTCGCAGAACACTCGCTCCATTGCGATGCGTACCATTCATAATCGCAACCGGTCGACGGCATGTCGCACTTTCTTACAGTTTCCGGTTTCATTTCCGTTTCGCACAATTCATTTGGAAAGATTTCACCCTTGGCCGTTGCGCATTCGATATTACGAGATTCCGACACTAATCCGCATTTGTCGCACTGTCAATAAAAAAATAGATATTGGAAGTTAAAGAAATCATTAAAAGTAGAATGATATATTCTTACACCAGACCAATCGGAGACGATCCAATCCACACCTTCGCATGGTCTTAAATTGCATTTTTTCTCGCTCTCAGGTTTCTCGTCGCTACAGTCGGTGTCGTTAAGTTTGACAATTTTTCCATTATCTTTGCGATAACATGTGACAACTCTGGTTTCTTTGCCTTCGCCGCACAAATGATCACACTACAAACGTCGTTGTGAAATTTACTATTTCAATGAAAGTTTATTAATTTTGTACTTACCGGTTTCCATGGTCCGGTATGCCACTCAGCGCAAATTTCTCCAACGTTACATGCTTGTTGAGTATCAGGTTTTGGGATTCTCGCGCATTGGGAGTCATCGACGATGCTTGCTACGCCATTGGTGATGATTTGCTCGCACAATACTTGCCTGTCCTGGGTTCCAACCTCGCCACACGGAGCCGAGCATTTCTGCCAAGGTTTCGTGACCCATCTGGGTTCGCAAGGTTGCTCTCCGCATCGTTGAGCATTCTCTGGTCGGGTATTTGGATCGCAAAGCTTCTCGTCCGCTGGATCCAAGTTTCTTCTGCCAGCGCAACTAACGTTCCTGTATTGAACACCTACAGATAATTCCAAGAATTAATGATTCCTTGGCATACATGTATTTCAATGTCTTACCTCCTCCACACGATGAGGTACATGGAGTATATTGATCGAAGGTCCAAACATAAGCCTTGTCATCTGTGCTAACTACAATGTTCGTTGGAACACTGTATTCATACTTTACACCAACATTTCTATCTTGGAAGAGCAGCTGCAAAATGGTGTTTCTAAATAGTATGCAAAGCGCTACCAATATCTGATACTTACAACAATGAAGAGTGCTTCATCGATAGGACCTAAAGTGGAAATGCTATCGGGCGATGAAAAACCTTGGCTCTGCCTATTGTAATGTATCTTGGATCCGGCAAATTCAAGAGTTTTTGGAAAGTCAATCCTCCAGTTACCGTTCAAATGGTAATAACCGCTTGTGTTACGAACAGCTAAAAAGATATATTTACTATTAATTATTCCCCAGAAAAAAAAATATTTCATGCATACCTAAGTAGTTGTTTGAAGGGTCTATTTCAGTTACTTCGATGTTAGTAGCTCCCTGCGGTATCAGCAAAATATCATTGTATCCTAAATACAAACATTTATTATTTACCATAGAAATACGTATATTATACAAAATAAGCATACCTATTTGCAAGTCTTGCATGTCCAAAAGTCCAGTAATCGTGTTGCAAGAGCTACCGTCGCCCCCGCAAACCCTGCAGTTATCTTCTTTAGTATTGGATCCTAACATCATGTCGCATCCAACGGCCTGGGTAGAAATTTAAATTGAATTACTTAAACGTAATGCAAAATGCAATAATCAATTACTCACTTCACATTTTCCAGCAACGCAAACATCCATGGAGTCTTCATTACACCTAGTACCATCCACGACTTGCGTCCGGTGGCGGTAGTAGAACTTTTCTCCGCGAGGCATGCAGTTCAATTCGCATGGGTTTGGAGCCTTGTTGTAAGGAGTCCATCTGGAAATGTTAATTTATAAATTACATTGTTCATCTTTATTAATTCAATACATACTTATAATTGATGCCTTCGAAAGGAATGTTATCAAATTCAGAACACTGCTTTGCTCTGAAGTCCTCGTTGTCCGAACAATCCTAAAATGTGTGCATTAGAATCATCATTTTCTTTGTTTGCTTATTATTATAGTAATGTACAAATAACAGGAAATGAATAATATATACGCGGTAAACGTAGTAAATAAAACAATTTTTATTTGAGAATTCACAGAAAATTTTGCGCTAGGAAATCCGCCGTACGCCTATTTAAAAGCAGCCGTAAAGTTCCGTCAATAAACCTGTCTAAAAATATTTCTTTGTGCAATTTTAACGGACTCGAAGTGTAGTAAAATTACATATGGGAAGTTGAAAAAGTGCTATAAATAACAGGAGGGTCATTGCACAACTCCGGCTCATCTTTTGTATGCGTCTCTCTTTATGTTTGTGTGTGTGAAAATGAAGAGGGCGATTAATAAACTGCAATTAAAATAGAACACGGAATGATAATTATTTATGCCGCTTCTGGCGTACATTAATCACAATTTTACCGTTTATAAGTGAAAGCCTAAGTAAATATACGCGAGTTTGATTATTTTCTGAATGCTGTATTTATCATCGGTGCATTTCCCTTTTTCTTGAAATCAGGAATAGATTGCACTAATCAATCTTTGGATATATACGAAATGCCTTCCTATAGCAAACAAATGCAATAAACGCATTTCGTTCGTTGCGCGAGTAGATCTGTTTACAGGCGGCAAATCGAGGCGCTTAATCTCTTCAGGACTAGCATTTCCGTCAACACTCTCAACACGGTATTTGGCTTGGGTTCAAGGATAATCCGCAGCTCGAGATTCGTTTCATAATTTACACATTGCTCAAGGTCACTTACGTTCTTGTTTTTTTTATGAACAATAATTGTACGCGCTGTCAATTACTGAATTGATGATTTTACTACCTACTAGTCAATGTATAAACATACTAATTAGTATATAAATAATAGTTCTACCAATATCTCGAACTGTTTGAAATCGTACTAATCGGTCATTTATGTATAATAACATTATGTGAATTTATTTCTATTTTGTCAGAACAAACTAAATTTGAACTTTCTCTTGAAATTTTCAAATCGGACATTGGTGAGTCCGGACTGATCGAAACAGTTTTATGTGAGGCAACTATGTATTTACAAACAACCATCACATCATATGAAATAAAGGATTATACCGTAATTCTGTGTTCTTTACATTTATAATTTTCGATACAAACCTGCGTGTTACACGAGAAATGTCTTCTGGTGGGTCCTGTGCATTGGTAGCCTTCCGTGCATATCCTCTGCTGAGTGGAGACGCCTCCACCGCAGGTCCTGCTGCAAGGACTAGGCGAAGACCAGTCCTGCCACGGTCCGGTCTCCTCATCATTGTTGTCGGTAATGTAACTTCCAGGCAGGAAGAGATGAGCTCCGTGTTGTCTTTTGAAGCGCTCCTTGTAGTGTCTTACGTGCTACAAAGAAAGGAAACATGAGCATCACAAATTTAAAAAAAATAAATACAAATAATCCTATCTTTTGAGACGACCTTAGCTTTCTTGCATCATTAAACGAGAGTGCAGACAAGCTGGAGACACATGCACGCAATGAAATGTCCAACATAAAAATACTTTTACTATTGCATCATAGGCCAAAAGTAAAATCATTGAAATAGATAGACCTAACGCAACGTTTCCTCATCTATACCGAAACGCCGTCTGTGCGCGGATCTTTGATTTCGTGCAGAATTCCGCGTACTCTGAAATTAAATGCTGAAATGTTTATGGTCCATAAATACACGAAGGCCGTAAACAATCTCAACTAGAACCAGATAATGGTATGTACATTCCATGGGTGGCCAAGTGCGAAACTCATTATAATACTATGGTCGGCATTTGTTAATAACGCTTCAGCGTTATCGGATGAGAACATGGGCAATTAAGTAAAGTGACAACGAAAAAGGTAAGTTTTTCAAAGCATATTTGTCGAGAGCAAGGGTAACTTCTGTTGCAGGTGGCATCTGGTTTTGTTGTAAATCCAGTATATACATTTATTTTTTGTTGTTGTTGTACTTGTTGTTACTTGCAGACTTATACTAATTGTATAAACAACAAAAACAACAACGACAAATAATAAATGAATTTACAAGTCCATTCATGGTTTGCATATAAAAAAAAGATGAATGAACTAAAATTAGCCATATAAAAAAGTAATCATGTGTATGACGGTATGCTGTAAAAAAAAATCATTCAGCGATGATCTAAGAATAGCAGAATCGGGTCAAATTTTTGCTTATTATTTTATAGCTCAATTATACACAACCGCGTTTAAACAAAACTATAAATAAGCAACGTTTAAATGAATTATATCATTTGGCTAAACATTACATCATCATCGCTCTGTTGGAATAGTCTAAAGAACAATTTCAGTATTAGCATGAAGTTTAGATATATATTTTTTAAATAATCAATTAATTGAATAAACATGCAAAGACATTTTAAATAAGTAATTTTAAATTAATTATATAATTTTACAAAAGTATCGAGATTAATGACAAATAATGTTAATAGATTTACAAAAATCGTAATTAGAAATGAGTATCAAATATAGTTTTGTATAAACATTTTTAACTAAATATAAATCTATGAAAGATTACATATAAAGTATGGATTAATTAGAGTAGATATAACTGTCAGGAAATGTTACTAAAACTGGAAGAATCATAAAATGAGATGAGTTTATAAGCATCAAGTGTTTCTCAAGGTTATGCTCTGAGTCTAATTTAATATGTTGAGTAATCAACACAGATATCCTATTAACAAATTCACAATAACATCAAAGCTTTTCCAGGAATAGAAATAATTTGTTTGATCTGGCGTTTTTGGAATTTTAATTATTACTAAACAAAGATATTTTAGTTGAATCGAACACAATAATTTGTATATACATTGATCGTAAGTCTACCATGAAGATAAGATCATATTGAATTATGTAATTATTATGAAAGAGATTGAAATCATAATTAATTTATGAAATTTTAAATATTTATGTTAATTTTATAATAATACTTACATGGCTATAAGATTCTACATAAGTTGATACATAAACTAATACTAATAGTAAATGGGACCTGAAACAAAAGAAATATTACAATTAGTGATTTAATAATGACATACGTTAATATAAGACAAATGCAAAAATGTTAATTATTAAAAAAAAATGTTTAAAAGTACGATGTTGTTGTTTGTTATTTAGGATAATTGAGTCATCATTTTTTTTTGTCGGAGGCTATTCAATCTTCAGCAGTGTTCTTTTTTGTATTGAATAAATCTTTACATTGTGATTAAATTAATTAGTATTTCCATAATAACGAGACCCGATTAATTGTAGAAACACGCGTTTAAATTACATCCACGAATAGTGGGCGAGTCCGAAACTATCTAATTATGATCGCATAAAAATGTCAATAAATTTTAATGGATCCATTTAACCGTGTCCACCTTTTTTAATTGGATGCGCTGCTACAATGGAAAGTGCAATCCCCTCACAGCCGAGATGCATGTCCTGCACGAGGCGTGGGCGTTCACCAATCAACAGCACAATGTGGATTTTAATTAGAGGAAGGATGCAGGTACAATACTAGGGAGCAACGAGATATTAACATCGCTGAAACGTTAGGCGCATGACTAAACAGCGGATCGATAATCGGCGGCGTTAATCCTGCCGATTGTCCCTCCTGGATCACATGGTATCCTGGTGGAAAGGGCTTCCAGGATCTTACCTACGCGGCCTGGATAAGGATTATTATAATACAACCAGGATTTAGTATACGCCTTTCTTAATGTTGGGAGCGATTAAAAGATCATTTTATTTGATAATGGGCCGAAGCGTGTTATTATTTTATCACGCTCGGATTTGGAGCGGACACATAAGTAAAAATTAGTCGGGCCTCAGAGGTTGTAATCTTGATGGTTCGACCTGTAATCTTGGGCGGTGAAGGTGCGTTCAATTTGAGGATATTAGGGTGTCGCGTTGTATGGGAACTCGCGCGTGATTTATGTAGATCCTTGCATCATTATGGAAATGGCCTCAGAGTATATATACACGTAAATCCACGGACGTCGACCTCTTTCACCACCCGATCTCCTAATACTCAGAAAACTACATCAGCCCAAAACACGACCCCGTACAAGGTTATTCGAATTCAAATGCCATTTACCATAATATTAATAGATTGATGCAATAGAAGAACATATCATTAATTTATCCCTTACAAGAAACGAAACAAAATACAATAAACAAAGAAAAAAAAAACAACCAGTCTATATTGTTATAATTGAATTGTTTATAACAATTATTTTCATAAATATCGAAACAATTATTTAATACACATTTGAACTAGTTTCTTAGTTTTCTTTACGTACAACATACATATAAAAATCAAATATAACAATTCAATTTTGCTTTTTTCTTTCATCTTAGAGTAACGTCAATCAATAACGTGACTCCCTTATCTTCCTTCTCGCATAACATGATATCCTGATAAAGGGATCTGTACTTATTTTACCTATCCTGCCTCAAACATCACCTTAGAATTTGCAATTAGAATCATAATCGGTGGCACTAAATCATCATTGTACAAAGGCTATTAATATGAACTATTTAAGTATGCGTTGGAAGTAGTAATAGTACAAGAAGAGAAGGCATAAGCTAAGCTAACTACCTACTACCGTCGGATCGCGGCTAGCTGCAAATAAACACCTAACCAAAAATAAAATTGAGTCATAAACAGAATCCAATTTCGATTTCCTTATTTATTATAAACAAAAATTTTATTTTTAGCGAACGCGTCTGGCCATCATCAGCATCTAATATATGTGTGTGTGTCTATGTATGTATGTGATACTTAAAGCTAAGCAAACACCTGCCTAACCTACTAACCCTATAGCTGATTCTTGCGCAAACTTTCCTCTTCTGTGTATCGTGTACAATATAGCCGATAAATATACAATGCGAACGATTTCCGCAAAACGTCACAAATTAATAGCGTAAATATTTATAATTCTCGTTGGCCATTCGGTTCGTGCACGACGGATGGCTTTAAAAGGCGCGCAATCTTCGTCCTGCAAGGATTTGGGTGGAAGCCGCTTGCAGGATTTCGGTGCTCTCTATCTCTCATGTTATCCTAGTAAAAAGGGCTTTCAGGATCATACCTACCGAATCCTGGATTAGGATTACGGCAGATCTAAGGGCAGCGTCTTCCGGTTTCTGGCGCACACACAAAATTGTATTGATATAATGTTTAATTTCATATGTCAATTTTATTCACTAAATAAGCAGATTAAGAATTATTATTCGTTTGGTCGAAAAGATTGATGGTCAATAGCCTTACAACAGTCAATAAATTTTGTAATATGTTATGATTATAATTTGATTGATTTATTTTTTTATTTAATAATACGATATAAACAAATTTATTTAATATTACAATATAAGCAAATTACACTTTTATAAAATTAATTTTATCATTATTTATATAAAACGGAAGAGAAATTATTATAATAATAAATGAAAATGTACTGAATTTATAAATTACGTTTAAATTTACGCACGAAGATTGATTGATGAAGGATGTTAATAAAGAGAGATTAAGTGTTCAAGAATTAAGAACTTGCAATAATTACATTTTAAAGAATCAGTCTTAAATATGTTTTCCTGTTGAAAAGAGATTTCAGACTCTCAACTATCGCGCCCTAAACATTAAAGGATTGAATCGATAAATCGAGAGCGAAGGAACCGCGTCCAGGACAAAACACCCTTCCCTAAGTATGTTATCCTGTCTCCGCTGGTTTCCACTTTTTAACCTAACGCATCCACCACAAGGACTACAAGTATTATATCGACTCGTTTTCGTGTTCAGGACGAAACCGCACCTATTAAATCTGTTATCCTGTTGTTGCGCGTTTCCATATTTTGACCTAACGCTTCCGCCATCGAGACTATGCGAAATCGAAGGACAACTTAACAGTGCAGATTATGATGTCTTATTTTAACATGTTCAATGAGATGCCAATTTTTTATTGAATAATTATTATTAATTCATTTAAAACCAAATAACCACTAAAACATGTTTATTTTTATTATTACTAAACACGACTAAAACTTGATTTATAGGTATAGATTTATAAAACTAAAAAAAGAGATTGAATAGTTCCAATTGTTGAAATGTTATAAAATATAAAAGTCCGCAATAAGGACTTCTTACTACATATGTTAAAGCATTATTTTGTGTCCACAACACCTTCAAGGATGATATGACGGATCCTTTACATGTACAGGACATAATACTCCTCAGAAAATATGTTATCCTGTTGCTGAGGATTTCTCCTTTTTAACCTAACGCATTCTCCACAAGGACTAGGTGACGCTTCTTCATATAATCGATTTTTGCTTTTAAACACACATACACAAGTAAAGTTTTCAGGACAAGATACCCGTTTCCAAATATAACATCCTGTTGCTGCTGGTTTCCATATTTTAACCTAACGTATCTCACCACAAGGACCATGTGAATATATCGTCTCCTTTTCACGTTCAGGACGAAACACCACAATTGAAATATGTCATCCTGTTCCTATGGGTTTCCATTTTTTAGCATAACGTATCCACCACGAGGATCAAGCAGACAACTCTATCTATCAGCTGAATTGCTTTTAATATTGTACACGAGTAAACAGTGTTAATTGATAGAGGACATAAACAAATATAAAAAAGTTCCAAATTAAATTATTTTAAATATATGAATTTTCAATAGTTTTATATATTTCTTAATATTATTTTATAAGCTGACAAAAGTAATATGTTATTTACATAAACATAATTATATTTACGTAAATTAATTATATTTCTTAGACCGGATTAAGAACTCACTGCATTTATATATCATTATGTTAGAAAGAGATTGCAAGATAATGCATATTGCGCCATAGATTTAAATATGTCGTGGACAAGCAGATCCTTTCCATGTTCAAGACGACACACACCTCGTTAAATATGAGATCCTGTCTCTGAGCGTTTTCCCTTTTTAACATAACTCTTCCACCACAAGGACTATGCGAACTCTAGGACTACGTCACGCTTCATATAATCGATTTCTGTATATGCCTTTGAATACACACACACGGGTAAAGCTTTCAGGACGAGATACCACTTGCCAAATATGTCTCCCTGTTGCGGCGGGTTTCAATATTTTAACCTAACGCATCCGCCATAAGGATCTTGCGAACTCCAAGGACTACGTGACGTTTTATATTGGATCCTTTTCGCGTTCTAGACTAAACTCCAGCAATTAAATATGTTATCCTGGTGCTAAGGGCTTCCACTTTTTAGCATAACCACAAGGACCAAACAAACAACCCCATCTGTCAGACACTTTATGTATTGCGTTTCACATTGTACACGAGTAAGGAGATTAATAAACGACATAAATAAAAAGTTAAATTCAATTATTGTAAATATATAATTATTAACAATTTCATATATTTCTTAATATTAAGAATATGATTTGTACATAAATAAACTAATTATTTACGTAAATTTAATATATATTTTAGTCCAGATTAAGAATTTTGTGCATTTATATAATATTCTTTTGGAAACAGATATCAAGATATTTCATATTGCTTCCTGTAATTATGAATAAAGCAATATTTCTTGGACGAACGAATCCTTTACGCGTTCTGGATGAAACACTCTTCGCTAAATATGATATCCTGTTTCTGAGGGTTTCCCCTTTTTAACCTAACGCTTCCACCATCGGGACTATGCGAAGTCCAAGGACAACGTGACGTTTCATATAATCGATTTTTGTGTTCTTTTAATCACACACACGAATAAAGCTTTCAGGATGAGACACCACTTGCTGAATATGTCGTCCTGATGCTGCTGGTTTCCACATTTTAACATAACGCTTCCATCATTAGAGCTATGTGAAGACCAAGGACAACGTCACGTTTCACATAATCGATGGCTGTGAGCGTTGAAACACAACACAGAAGTAAAGCTTTTAGGACAAGTCACCCCTCGCCAAATATGTCATCCTGTTTCTGTGGGTTTCCCGTTTTTAACCTA